GTACTAGGAGTGCAACCCGAATAACGCCTGTCGTACCCTGATCTTGCTCCCTTGTTGGTCCAGTGCATCTACCACGCGGCCTGTTTAGGAGGCACGGGCGGAGAAACCATTAAGTGTACCATGACCTGTGCAGCGCTCCATCAGATACAGGCCTTCACACCACCCCCTAGAGAATACGCGAGCATAAGGTGGCTGTAAGATGCGGTGATGGATTACTTAAAGTGGCTGTCTATACCTACGAAACCGACCACGTGGATTTTTAATCTCGCAGCCACGACGGCAATCACCCACGCCAGAAGGAAGAAAAGCCTCGAGTTGGCTGAAGCCGGGGCCTCCGGTGAGAACTCAGTCCATCGATTTATCGATCTGGCGCCGGCCTGCAGGGCCCGTCGCAGTCACCTGACTGGCGGCACTGGTTTTTGATTGGCCCCCGCCACCTGTAACTGCTGCTGACATTTATCACTGACGGTGGACTCTAGAAAAAGTTCGAGAGCCCAGATTAATAAAGCCGTATTCTCAGCGCTCAGCGAGCCTTCTCTTTCTTTACGTCGTTTGGTCTATCAAGACACACTTAGAGGCATGGCTTGGGATATCTCCCCCCGAGAGAGTAATTCGGTCCTTCCAAGAGCGAAGAGTCCGGCTGTCATGTAGCCTTTACTGCATTCTCACTGTTGGGAACTTCAAGTCGCTCTTACTGTCGCTTGCTGCATGTTGTCGGACCCAGACCGTGAGTAGCAGGCCTAGGAGGGATGTTTTTATTTGTCTTCATTCTGTGACAACTCATCCAGCGAACACGACGCCCTCTTCTCAGGCTTCTGTGATGGATCACCGTACATCCAATAGGCCTTCTTGTTGACTCTCCTCTGTCCTCTAAATGTTTCGAAAGCGCGACAGAAGATGCAAGGCTTATCTACAACAATATAAAGCTACACATTCGAATTAGGGATGCCATTCCTTTATTAACACAAATCTAGGGATGATTTGTAAGGTCGTCTAAATAGGAAAGCGCCTCGCCCAGGTAAAATTAGTGGCCTTGCGGTACATTTTAGGAAGGTTAAATACTCCCGTAAAACTAAATTGTAATCTTAAGCCTAGCCTTACACAAAATCTAAATCCTACAGTTAACACGAACTTAACCCTTATCATGATCCTGACCTTACCCCCAACCGTAAATCTAACACTTAACCCATTTTCCTCGAAATTTGACATATGCATCGGAGCTGGTTCTAT